CAAATGTACCATAAATACGAGTGCTTACAAAACGGACCCCCACCCCCCCGGCGTCTCCTAGCCCAGAGCCACATGCAGTCGCAGGCTGTCCTTCAGGTATGGACCATTACAGAGCAGAGGTGGGTAAGAGAAAGGGAGTCCCAGCCACCCACCAGGCCTCCGGGGCCTTTGGTGATTAGGGAAACAGCCTTGGCAAAAACATGACCCCGAGCCCAGGTGCAGTGGTCACGCACCAGCTCCCACACCCTGCTTTCCAGGGCTGTGGGCACAGTGACCCAGACGCCCAGGGAACTGGATGTTGGTGACCCAGACACCTCAGGACGAGGGACAGAAGGAAGGAGCAGAAGGGGCTGTGGGAGCTGGCTACAAGAGCTTCTGGCACCCAGAGAGGATGCTGGGGCCCTGATTCTGCGTGATGGAGGCTGAGGAAGGGCGGGAAAGAGTGGATGTAGGGGTGCTTCTGCTCATAGCACCTACCCATTATCCACCAAAATTTGCAAAATACCACCTGTAGGCCAGGTCCTAGGCTGGGCAGGCACTGAACTTGGTGCCTAGTGGGACAGACAGACACGCCTATGACCATCACGACCGAGGGGAGGGTGCTGTGGAGGGCAGAACAGGCCGCGGAAGCCGCTGATGCAGCCAGAGGATTCGCAGCCCTTACCGTTCCCCCTCGTCTGCCCACACCCGGGCAGACATTGCTAATCAACCTCCACACCCCTGCCAAGGCTGGACGAGGCTCCAGAATCCTTCTCCACACAGCAGCCCAGGGAGCTACTATCAATTAACTGGAGTTGGCACAGGAGATGAAGCCTACGTGCCAGTTCTGAGCTGAGATCTGGAAGAGGAATGAGTCAGAGGGTGGAGAGGGAGGAGAGGTGGGAAGGGCAGTGCCAGGTAGAGGAAGCAAGACCTGCAGGGGAGATGGAGGGGAGCGTGAGAGGCTCAGGGCGCTGGAGCTGGGGGCACATGGCTGGGGCCTGGGGCAGGTTGGCAGGGGTGAGCAGAAGTGCGTGCTCAGTGACAGACTGGAGTTTCGACCAAAAGGGAGGCTTGTGTGCATCCAGGCAAGAGTGAGGAGTGGCTCGGCTCTGCCAAACCCACAGCTGTTTCCTTCCATCCTTAACACAGAGAACTCCAATCTTCAACCAGGCAGAAAGGGGCTCAGGGAAGGAAGGCCCTTCCCCAGCCCTAGGGGACACACCAGGACCGGTCCCACCTGCTGAGATTTAGGGAGGGAAAAGCTGAAGGGACTCACCTAGCCACCACACCATGCTGGAAGCGTCCACCTACCGAAATCTTGACGGACGCAAACATTAAATGAGGGAAAGAATCAAGTGTGAAGGTGAAGGGCAGATTCCAAGGCCCAGATTTGAAGGCTGGCATTTGAAGTTAGTGACCTTGGGCAAGTTAATTAACCTCTTTTGGCTTCTGTGTCCTCGTCTGTAAAATGGGGACATTCACAGGCTCAGCGTCATCGGGTTGCTGTGAGGATTAAATGGGCCAATATATATAAAAGCACTTTGCACGGTGCCTGCCCGTAGCAAGTGCTCTATAAGGCTTAGCTCTAGAACATTATTCCCACTGGGCCAGGGCCTCTCAACCTCCATGTGCACACGGACCACCCAGAGAGCTTGTAAAGCTTCAGATTCGGATGCAGTAGGGCTGGGGTGGAGCCATTGCCATTTCTAACAAGCCCCCAGGGGATGCCAACACTGCATTTCTAACAAGCCCCCAGGGGATGCCGACACTGCATTTCTAACCAGCCCGCAGGGGATGCCGCCGCTGCTGGACTGGGGGCCACACTTGGAACAGCAAGGGCTGATGTCACTGTCAGCTAATATGAGGCAGTCTGGAGCCCACGGATCTTCACTGACAGAATGGCCCCACCCATACGCATCCCTTCCCCAGCCCAGAGACCTGGTGAGGATGCAGTATTTCCAAAGTTCTCTATGCCTGTCCTTGGCAGCTCTCACCTCACTATGAGCTGCTCAGTCAGTGCAAGGCTGGGGCTCCCAGGTGCCCCACCCAATTGTCTAGCACACTGTAGGTACTCGATCATGTTTGCTGAAAGAAAAACCCCTGTGCCCAGTTGCAGGAATACACACGCCAGTGATCCAGGGCACGGGCAGACAGATCCAGCAGTGCCAGGGGCTGCGGGCTCGTGGGGACTGCATGCTGGCTCCTCGTAAGCCTCAGCTGGGCTGGCAGGAGCCCAAGGGGGGGGACAGTCACACCCCCTCCTATTTCAGAGCCTGGCATCTGGGTCCTACCAGTGCCCAAAATACCTCTAGAACAAGGAGAGGGCCGACCACAGCTCCACATCCCCCCAGTCCTTTCTACGCCCCTCCCTTGCCCAGGTGTTACGTGGAGTGGAGGAACCTGGCTGGGCTCCATCCATACTCCAGACCCTCTCCGAAGGGCAAGACTCTCCCCTCTGCTGGAACCAGCACCCTCCAACCCGCTGGGCTCAAGATATGCACCCCAAACCTTTTGATAATCACAAATGTCACAGCCAACATCAATCCCGTGCTTGCTCTGTGCTAAGTACCTTACAGACACAATTGCATTGGGCATGGCTCCCTGTTGTCCAGTAAGATGCAACTGGCCACAAGGAGCAAAATACCCAACTAACAGGGGCTGAATCAACAACAAACAACAATAATCAAAGCCAGTAATAACAGAATAACAGGGCATGCTACGTGCCAGCCACAGTCCTAAGCGCTCGTACATATATTAATTCATGTAATCCATACAACAACTCTAAGAGGAGTCTCGGTGTGCTATTATTGTCCCCTTTCCACAGATGAGGAAACTGGGCTTACAGAGGTAAAGTAACTTCCCCAAAGTCACACAGGTACTAAGAAGCAGAAATGAGGCACACACCAGGCCTGTCTGACTCCAGGGTCCTGCCTGGAATCTAACTCAGACTCTCTGGTCCCTTAAAGCACATTACAACAAATGACAAGAGCCACCTCCCAAGCACCTGTCATGTGCAGGCATCAGCTCATTTCTCCTTCACGACACCCTCCTGTGCTGCTCTCCCTGGACAAGTCACGTGGCATCTCTGAGCCTTCTGTAAAATGGGGCTCTGGGTTTGACTCCCCGCTCTTGCTCCCTGCACCACGCTGCCCTCCCCCTGAGCTGCCTGCGAGACCAACAGACAAGATGTTGGCCAGCCTCCTGGAGCTTAAGAGATGTGCCCAAGGCCATCTGGGGGGTCAGTGGCAGAGCCAGGACTAGGTCCCAAACCTCCTGACCCTCTGGAACTCAGCAGAGACCCACTGCTACCCTGATGCCTACAATATCTTCCTCCAAGTGTTGCTGCCTTGCCAAGTTTCTCAGGCTAAAGAAAACAGTTGTTCCCTTCCTCCTCCTCCTCTTCCTCTGCCTTCCGCCTGTCCCCCTCCCCTTCTCGCCCTCCGGAAAGCCTCCCGAGGAGGTGGGTGGGACAGCAGCATCTGCCAAGGCAAGGCCATTCACAGAGGCCGGAGATGCCCAGTTTAGGAGGGGCTGGGGGTGGGAGGGCTTCCAGCCAGCAGGAACCCCCAGCTGGGAGGCAGTGCCAGAAACGGGAGAAGAGCAGAAGGTGGTGGCCAAGCCCCAGCTGTGCCCCGGTGTCTGCCCCCGGACGAGCCACTTAGCCAGTGCTGCCCAACGGAACTGTCTGCGAGGGCAGAGATGCTCTATACCTGCCCTGTCCCAAAGAGTTGTCACTGGACACTTGGAATATGGCCAGTGCGATGGAAAAACAGAATATTTCATTTTATTCCATTTAAATTAATTTAAATAGCCACGTGCCTAGCATCCACTGTACTGGACAGCACCGCTTTAACCTCCCCAAGCCCCAGTGTCCTCATGAGGGTGACGAGAACCCCCATACCCCTGGCTGAGGATGGCCAAGACAAGGGAGCGATGTGTTGCCACGGAATGAGCCCCCACTGGGAGTCAGGACTCCTAAGTTCCAGACCCATTAACGTGCTCTGTGATCCAGGACAAGCTCCCCAACCTCTCTGAGTGCCCTGGTCATCTGTACGATAAGAATGTCACTTGGGAGCAAAGTTTCTTTGCTAGGGATCCATGGATGGGCTCCAGGGGAATCTGGGAACGCGCTCTAATTATGAAAAGAGTATGTTTGTATGACTGTGTGTGTATGTGTGTGAGAACGTGTGGGACTGTGTGTGTGTTAGGGTGTATGTGCACATATTTCTCAGGGGAAAGCAGGCCCAAAACTTGCCCAAAATTCTCAAAGAGGTCCGTAATTGCTACAAAGATGAGATCCCCCCAGTCTGGAGTAGTCTTCTCTCGGGGAACCTTTAAAAAATGGAGTTCCGCGCTCCACTCCCAGAGACTCTGACTCAGGGCACAGGGCCTACAATCTGGAGCGGGAACAAGAACCCAGTGGTGCTGACGTAGTCAGGGGAGAGAGAATGCTGGTGAGGAGGCGGTCAGACCTCATATTTTATGGTTTGACATGTGTGAAACTCCTTATCAAACTCCTTATTGATTATGTATTTTTAAAAACCAATCATGATTTAAGAAACTAAGAAAGTAAAGGGGAAAGAGTAACATCCTGATAAAACCCATCGCGACCCCGTTCTTTATTTGCCAACACTGACATACGGCACTCACGTGCCAACACTGTCCTCTGCTCTCTGTAAACAGAAACCCACCGAATCCTCACAACGCCCCTCTGAGGCTGCCCCTATTACCCGGTTTTACAGATGGGAAAACTGAGGCTCAGAGAAGGGATGGGCCCAAGATGGTGCAGCCCGTGGGCCGTCAGGCACCGGAGTCTGCCCCACACTGCTCTGCGTCACCCTTGGAGCTTGCTTGCCCTACCACCTCCCTTCGGCACGACCCGCAGCGCTGAGCCAATGCCCTGCCCGGCCTGAGGCTGAGCCCGGCCTCCTGGCCAGCGCTGCTCAGCCCCTCCCACCCCACACCACAGGGGCTGCGAGAGCCAGGAGGGCTGGCAGCAGGCCGGGCCCCACACTCACTTGCCCTCCGAGCCGTAGCTATTCATGCTGTCCTCAATGGACTCGTGGCTGGCCTGGCGCAGGGTCCGGCTGGGCATCTCCACTGCCAGGCCGGTCTCCGTGCTCCTCTGGATGGCCCCCTTCAGCCTCCGGCTGTCCCCTTCTGGGCAGAGAGGCCAAGAGAGATGGGGAGAGAGACACAGGGCGGGAAGGGACAGAGAGACAAGTCATCTGGTTAGTGGTACAGTGGCTGGTGGCTGCCCAGTGTCGCCCTGCCCCCTCCAGTCCACCACACTCCTCCTACCACCTGCCTCACTTGTACCCCCTCCCTGGGGCGGCCCTGCCCTTCATACCCACCCACCAAGCAGCATCACAGGAGTCCTGTTAACGGACGGATTCATTTACAGGTCTCTTCTCCCCGTTGAATTCAACACTCCCCTGCAACTCTCTACAGATCATTCCTCCTCCTCCTCTTCAGTTACTCTTTACTGAGCACCTACTATGTGTCATACTCTGTTGAGTGTTTTGCATGGATCTGGACCAGGTTTTCTCCACCTCAGCAACAACTGGCAGTTTAGACGGGATCCCGCTGAGTTGTCGGGGGCGTCTTGTGCATTGTGGAGGTTCTATCAGTAGCCCTGGCCTCTACCTATTAGATGCTAGTAGCGCCCTCCGGTCCAGTGTGGCAATCAAGAATGTCTCCAGACATTCCAAATATCCCCTGGGTGGGGGGAGTGAGTCACCCCTGATTGAGGACCACCAATTCGACCAATGGCTCTGAAACCAGACTGCCCACGTTCAAATGTGGATCTCTTTCTCACTGGCTGTGAGACTCTGGGCAAATCACTCAGCCTCTCTGTGCCTCCATTTCCTCAACTGTAAAATGGGAGAACAACAGACTTATAACAAATGGCCCTCTGCCCTTGCTATTCCCTCCCCTCAAACACCCTCTCCTCTGCCAGTAGCTCACTCCTTTGCTTCCACTCTGTGATCAAACGTCATCTTAGCCAAGGCCTTCCTTGACCATTCTCTGGCCCCTACCGCCCCCTGCCCCTCTCTGTCCTATCACCCTGCTCTGGCTTTCTTCCCAACACCACCCCAGACATGTTTATGGCATTACTGGTTTATTGACCAGCTTCCTCCCCATAGCAGGTGAACTCAGGACACGGTACTTAGCTTTGGTAACTATTGAAGTCCCAGGGCCAAGAAGAGGGTCCAGCCACAGTAGGCGCTCAGTTAATAACTGCTGGATGAACGGATGTCTGCCCTGAGAGTGGTCTTAATCCTCAACCCCCCATGAGGTAGATGAGTCTGTTCTCCCAGACTCAAGGGCATCAAGGACATAAAACACAGAGGTTGAGCCACTTGTCCACACCCATAGAGCCAGAAAGGGGGGGTGGGGAATGATGGCACCAGGAATTGACCCCAGGAGGGTCTCTCTGCTCCTTGCTCCACAGCCTGGTGATCAGGGTGAGTTTTACATCTCCTGCCACCCTGCACGGACTGCGGGTGTACTCGAGGTGGGGTACACCTTTAGGGGGATCTTCCCCATGCCTCTAAGAAGTCTGGGATGAACTCATATACCTCAGGGTCTTCCTCAGTGCTGGCTGGCCAACCCACCGGAGCAAAGCAGTGTCACCCAAATCCCATCATCCTGCTCCCCAAAAGGTAGGGGGACCTGGGTCTGCGTACCAGGAGGCAGAGCGAGACCAGGACCCTCCCATTGTCCTCCTGGCCTCCCTCCTCCTTCCCTCCCTGACTTTGAAACACACACACACACACACACATTGTGTGTGTGTTTCTCAGCGTGTGTGCCCACGTTTGTCTCCCACATGTACCTGCATTATTCAGGCACACAGAAGTTCACACTCAGAAAAACACATGGTAACACAGAAACACGCAGGAATACACATGCTAAGACACAGAGTGCGCTAATGTGTGTCTGAGCGTTTTTATTTGTGTGTTTCCACGAGTCTCCATATACCTATCATTCTGTGTTTCAGAGGCTAACTGGGTATGTGCCAGTCATACACACAGATACACATCCATAAGAAGTATATGCCAACCCACTCAAGAAAGCACACAGAGAAAGACACTGCATTTCTGTGTGTGTGTGTGTGTGTGTGTGTGTGTGTCACCTGGGTGTTTCTGAACACGTGGGGGAACACGTGTGTCCCCGTCTCTCTGCCGCCCTTCATCCCACCATTTGTTCTTTCTCTAAGCTGTATCTGCAACCCACCCAACCACTTCTATGTGCCTCTGTGTGTAGCAGGTGCTAAGACAGAGTAAGATTCAAAACCACGCACATGCTCACTGAGAAGCACCGACTCACAAGCACAGAGAGACGTCCCCCAACTCCCACACACACAGTGCAGACACAGGTCCAGGGACAAACTCCACTCCCCCACACTGGGGATACAAACCCAGAACCTGGCACCCTGCAGGCAGGCTGCAGACACCTGCCTGGGCTTTCTACCTCCCCACAGAACCCTGTTCTAGAGACTCACACTGGTTTGTCCCCACCCACCAGGGTCTGACACATTTCTCCTGGAAGAGGGAGAACCAAAGCATGACGCAATTCAGTCCCCAAGGGGGCTAAGGAGGAGGTTTGGAGAGGTGTGCTTCACATCTGTGTGGCATTCTGCAGCACCAAAGCATTTCACATCCAAATACCCTATATGGGCCTCAGGTGAGGCTGGTGTTGCAATCAGTCGGGGCAGGCACAGAGTTCCAGCTCTGCAACCACTGGTGGCCCAACCTTGGGCAAGTCAGGTAGCACCGACCCCATGGAACTGTTGGACATCTGCCACAGAGCCCGGCACATAGTAGGTGCGAAACAGAAGTAGCCACAGTGACTGCAGAGTTAAGACCTCTCAACACTCCCCAAATTTGCTCACACCAACTATCTTGCAAAATTTTCCCCAACATGCCACCTTCCCCACCACGGGAGTCCCCAGTGTGGTGCCCAACCACACCAACAAGGTCCGCCATCTACCCTCAGCCATCCGATCCTCCACTGGCCATCTCTTGCTGACTCAGTCAAGGTCCCCAAAGTGACTGTACCAACGCTTTCACACTCCCTACCCCATCACCCTGTCACCCCAACCAATGACCTTTCCCCCACTTGGCTGAAAAGCTGTGTCTCTTTGACTTGCTCCTTCTCACTTCCAACTTGCACCATCCTCAGACCTTTCAACCCCCCCCCCCCGCTCTCTCGCAGTAAGAGGGTAACCCTTCTCTTGGCCAAGGCTGATCTGCCACCTGTTCTCCTCATCCCACCTCCTCCCACTCGCACCGGGAACTCCTCCTCCCATTTGTCCTCTCTGGGCCTTGAATCTGCCACCTCTCCATCTTCTGCTTCTTTCCACTCCTCCTGCAAGTCTGCTCAAGGCCTCGCTTCTTCCACCACCGCCTTCAACCAACAAACTCCTCCCGAGCACAGAGACAACCACACGCTGTCGTTTCTCGCAGTCTGGCTTCCACTGCATTCGCACAGCTTCCTAAACCAGTCTCCAACGGCTGCTCGTGACCAAATACAACGGCCTCATCTCAGCCCCCACTCCTGAACGGTGGTGCTTCCAACTCACTCAGTGAACATCTACTGAGTGCCTTCTGGTCTGGTGGGAAGGCTTCATGAGGATGTGAAATGTGCTTCTAAGTGCTGGTCTCCACTGATAAAGCGCAAGTGGATGGAAGACAGAGGGGAGCTTCAGCCTCTGCCTTGGGTCCTTCGGGTCCCAGAAAAAGACCCGGGCATGACCTGCTGTAGCAGACATTGCTGACACTCCACCCACACCCCACAGATCGCCCTTCTTCCCACTCCTGTGAGCCCCACCACCAAACTGGGCTTCTGAAAGCCTCTACCTGCCAACTTTTTGTTTGTTCCTCAGTCTTCCTTTGGCTACTGAGCCCACGTTGCCCCCACACAGAGAGAGGCAGAAGTGCCTGGGGGTTTATGATCCGTGATCCCCTTAACCAAAGCCTAAATGGAACAGGAGAATGAACCCTCAACTCAGGTCCTTTACCTCAGGTCAGAACAACTCTGAGGCATAACATGCACTCCAGAGGAACCCTATGAGGTGGGGGGGCTGGAGCTGCCCTCAATCCCACATCCCTGCATGCTTCCTGCTTCCCCGGTCTCCTGTGGGGGCACTTCCATCACCTGCACACAAATCTCATCTCAGGGTACTTTTTGGGGGAAACGTGACTTAAGACACCTGCCTTGACCGGCATCCTAAGGAAGTCAAAGTTCAAAAATCTTTGCACAGGTAGGTTCCAGCATCATGATGGGAACACCATTCCCTTCATGAATGTGGTGATAAGAAGAGCTGCTGCACAATGAGTGCAGGCATGGGGAAGGGCATGCTCTCCAAAGGGATGGTTAAGGGGAGCAAAGGAGAAGCTACATTGTCCACGGTTCTCACAGTGCCCCATTGGAGAGGCTTGGAGTTTGAGTCCCATAAGCTTTGGGCACCAACTGTAGCTGACTACTGTAATGTACAAATAAATGGGAGTTTGGATGACCCACTTTTGGCCACCCACTCACACTTGCTGCACCCAAAACTTGAAATGAGCAGCTTGAATTCTCTCCGCGGGGTCCTAAGTCCCTCTTCTCCCAATTTGCCCCGGGGGAGGGGGGCACGGAGTGTGAACCGCTGGAGTCCTGCCAGGAAACAGCAACAACAACTTGGGGTACCAACACCATTATGTGATAAACACCATGCCTGATGCTGGAGATAGAAGAGTATGAGAATGGCATGGTCCCTGCCTCCACAGAGCTCACAGTTCAGAGGGGGGAGGTGGACCCTGAACAGATGATCACATTGATTAATCACAAGTGTGGTAAGTGCCTTGAAGACCAAGTACAAAATGTAATGACAGCACCACTGGGGGACCAGTGGGAGGGCGACTAACGTAGGCTATGGATTACTTCATCCTTTGAACAAAAGTCATTTCAGATCTCCCTTTTGGCTTCCTTGATAGTAAATTTTATGAATCTCCTCCGGTCCCTCTGACCATTGCCTCCATCCCTACACCTGAGGGCCTCACCATTCAGACCTTGGGTTCCCCCTCCCTCTAGACCTCGCCCCCTGGTGCTTTCGTTCCCCTCCCACAACCTCAGGACCACCCTATGCAAATGAATCCCACCCCCAACACGGA